CCTCCTGCAGAAGGTGAGTCCGGGCAGGGGGATGGAGATGCTCAGCGAAGGGCATCCACCACCGTCCCGGAATCCTGGAATCCCACAGCGGGTCGGGTTGGAAGGGATCACGGCAGAATCCCAGGTTTAGGTTGGTTCACAGAATCCCAGGCTGGAAGGGATCACACTGGGTCATCTGGTTTGCAGAATCACAGGCTGGAAGGGATTACACTGGGTCACTTGGTTCACAGAATCCCAGGATCCCAGAATGGCTCAGGCTGTAAGGGACCGCACTAGGTCACCTGGTTCACAGAATCCCAGGATGGGTCAGGCTAGAGGGGACCACAACAGGTCACCTGGCTCACAGAATCCCAGGATGGATCAGGTTGGAAGGGACCACAGGGCCATCTAGTTCACAGAATCCTAGGGTGGGTCAGGCTGGAAGGGATCACACTGGGTTACCTGGTTCACAGAATCCCAGGTTCCCAGAATGGCTCAGGCTGGAAAGGACCACACTGGGTCATCTGGTTCACAGAATTGCAGGATGGATCACGTTGGAAGGGACCACAGGGCCATGTGGTTCACAGAATTGCAGGATGGCTCAGGTTGGAACGGACCACACTGGGTCATCTGGTCCCACCTCCCTGCTCAAGCATGGTCATCCCAGAGCACGTGGCACAGGGTTACACCCATATGATTCTGGGATATCTCCAGTGAGGGAGATTCCACACTTTCTCTGGTGGGTCTGTTCCAGTGTGTGGTCATTACACAGAAAAGAAGGTCTTCTTGTGTTCAGGTGGAGCTTTCTGTGCATCCCTTTGTGCCTGTTGTTTCTTGTCCTATTACTCAGCCTGGCTTCAGCCTCTGATGCCCTCTCTTCAGTTACTGACAGACTCCTCAGTCATCTTGTATCAAAGCTGAACAGGCCCTGCTCCCTGAGCCTTCCCTTATAACACAGTTCACAGCCGGAGTTGAAAGGCACCCATGAGGATCACTGGGTGCAACTCCTGGCCCTGCAAGGGACATCCCCAGCAATCCTACCATATGCCTGAGAGCATTGTCCAAACACTCCTTGAGCTCTGTCAGGCTTGGGACTGTGACCACTGCCCTGGCGAGCTGTGCCCAAACACTCTGGTTGAAGAACCTTTTTTTCTAATATCCAACCTAAACCTCCCCTGACACAACTTCAGGCCATTCCCTCGGGTCCTGTCACTGGTTGCCAGAGAGAAGAGATGCTCCAGTCCTTTAACCATCTCCCCTGGAGCTGCTCCAGGAGTTCCATGTCTCTCCTGCACTGAGGAGCCCAAACCTGATAACAGTGCTGAGATGTTCCTCTCCTGCCAGGCTCAGCAGCGCTGTGAGGGCTGTGACAGCCTCTTTGGCGAGTACTACTGTGATATCTGCCATCTCTTCGACCGCGACAAGAAGCAGTACCACTGCCAGGAGTGTGGCATCTGCAGGTGCGTGAGGGAGGGTGGGCTATGGCTCCTCAGGGGTCCAGGCTTGCCCTGACACCTCTTTCCTCAGGATTGGCCCCAAGGAGGATTTCTTCCACTGTTCCAAATGCAATTTGTGCCTGAGCTTGAGTCTCCAAGGAAAGCACAAGGTGAGAATACACCTCTTAGCTCCATATCTTAAAGAATAGCACCTCGAACATAAGGCTGGTTGTGCCTCTGCCCCACCTGGGGCCACAGGGACAGGGAAGCAGTGGGTTCTCCTTCTCTAAATTCACCTAACAGCAACACAGAGGAAATTTTACACATTGGAACTTGACAATTTAGAAAACCACAGATATCTCTACAGCAGAATAACTTTTTCTTCTCTCTCCCATTTGCAAAGTGTATTGAAAATGTCTCCAGGCAGGACTGTCCCATATGTTTGGAGGTGAGCTGCTTGTTTTAATCTCTTGGATTACCACGTGGCCCTGGTTGTGGCCGTGTTTGAATTAATTTTCTTGCCTTTTGTCTGGTATTTGCCTCGAAACAGGATATTCACACATCTCGTGTTGGAGCTCATGTTCTGCCTTGTGGTCACCTCCTTCACAGGTAAAGCACTGCAGGTACCTGGGAAAGGGGAGTAGCTGCAGCCTTGTGTGAGGTGTTTATTCAGCAACTCTTAGTCTGTATCAGCTGAGGGATCCACATGGTGGAGACAGTCTGTTTCACCAGGTCTTTAGGAGGGTTGTCCTCCCTCCACAGTCAGTTTTGATGATGGGAATCTTTCCTCCCTTGGCCTCAGGATGTTTTGAGCTTCTGGTTTGGGGATAGCTATATGTCTTCTCTTTGTGCGCTTCAGGTGTGTTACCTGTCAGTAATCACATTCTTCTTACTGACCTGCTCACTGTGTTTTCATTTCAGAACATGCTATGACGAAATGCTGAAGGAGTAAGTATTGCGACACATCTTTTCATATTACCGTAGTCCAAAGAGATACTGCAAGAGGCAAAGATCATGATGCCAGTTTTTTACCTTAAAGCCAACTCTAAAGGGACAAGGGGCTTTGAATTTCCAATTCTGTTTGCAAGAGTTTCTTGTTTCATGGTGTTTCTCTGACTGGCACAATATGAAACTCACCTTTTGAGTGGACATGTTTCGTGGTGTTTCTCTGACTGGCACAATATGAAACTTGTCCTTTTGAGTTCTTTCATGGTGTTTCTTTGGTTGGTGCTGTACAAAACTTGTCCGTTTGAGTGGACGTTTCATGGCCTCACTCCACCTTCTGATTGAGACCTTTTTTCCCTTTCTGCCAGAGGTTACAGGTGTCCTCTGTGCATGCATTCGGCGCTAGATATGACCAGGTACTGGCGGCAGCTGGATGACGAAGTGGCACAGACCCCCATGCCCACAGAGTACCAGAACATGATGGTGGAGGTGAGAGATCAGCCCTGAACCCATGTGTCTTGTTTTGGAGGAGCTGTGCCGTGGAGTTCCTGGCAGTAGAGGGCACTAGGAACTTATCCTGGATCAGAAGTCAACCCGAGGGATAGGGAATGATGAGGAAATGTAGTGTGTAGGCTTATGGTGTTCATCTCCTGGGTTTCTATACACACACTGGTGATGCTAAAGCCTCTCCCTCTGTCTCCTGTGTGTGCAGATCCTTTGCAATGACTGCAATGCCCGTTCCACAGTGCAGTTCCATCTCCTGGGCATGAAGTGCAAGAACTGTGAGTCCTACAACACTGCTCAGGACGGACGGTGCCGCCTGCCCTTGGAGGAGCAGTGACCAGGATGTGCTCTGCACTCAGCTGGTCGAGGAAGGGACCATCTCCACCATGGAAAGAGACTATTTTAACAACAAAACACCCCTTGTCAGTCAAATTACATTCCAAGTTCAAGGAGCCCTTTGCTGCATCAGGGAAGAGAGAGCTTAGAAGGACAACACCACAAGCAGCTGATGCAGCAGAAGATGCTTTGGGGCAGCTGAAGGTCATGATCATGAGGGGAAGTGGAGGTACAGCACTTTGGGCTGCAGCTGCTGGGGAAAATGGGTTGCTTTGAGAGGCCTTTTTACACAGAGCTGACATTGCAGAGCTGCATGCGAGGACGTTGTGTTCCTTGGGAATGACGTGTTCATTCTGGGGCCTCGGAGCAGGCTGGAGAGGGGGAGCTTGCAGGAGTGGCATCCTGTGCCTTCATGTGTGACACCTATGTGTACAGAATTCCCTGAAACAAGGCTGCCCTGCCTATGTAGCTGTGATGAATGAAAAATCAAGCTCAGAGCCTCCCTTTTCCCCTGGACACCCATCCTGAGCTGCTGTCCCTTCACTCCCATTCCTTTTCCAGCTGCAGTTGTTTTTCCCTCCATTTCTTCCTCATTTTGCTTTATTCACTGGCAAAGGCCAAGGTGTTGTAGGGTTTTAGACATGTATGTAGCTTGATATTTTGATGGCTAAGTACAGAGTTAACATACTTGAGCTCAGGCTGAGCCTGAGATGCTCCCTGTTGTAACAGCAGCTCAGAGATACTTGAGTAGTGCAGGGACCAATTTTCTGTGCTTTGGGGGCTTTTAAATGGGACCTGATGTTGTTGTGGGGAGAGAATGGAGGGTGGACCACTGCCTTTTAACAAAATAAACAAATGAAAACCCCAATCCACCCTTCCCTGTCTAATATCCTGACCAAGGTGTTTTGCAGTCTTCAATGTTCCAGAGAGTTCTTAAGTTTCTGTGAATTCCATATGCAAATAGTTTACAGTCATGAAATAGGACATAAAATGAGCTCAGTTACTCTTGGCAGTACAACTACTTATTTTTAACTTGTCCTGGTGTAAAACAAGAGTGTTTCTTAATCCAGCAGTGCCCCTTTCTGTATGGAAAGTTTAGGATTTGGATGATAGCTGTTGTAGCTTGCCTGGACTGGAGTATCTTCTTTTTTTTTTTTTTTTGAGCACTTTTCTCACTGCTATAAGTAAATGTAAAATAACATCTCTATTAAAATAAACGAATTATACCCTGTGTGCTATGCTCTGGGGCACTGTTGGGAATATAAGTGGGTTTAGCAGCCCCTGTGTATCCTTATCTTTGTGGTAAAAGCAGCTCCTGCTGCTTTGGAGCACCCTTCAAATGTGTACTGGCACCTGGGGATTCCACCACCTTTCCAGGATGGAGATCTGCTCCCAGGTAAGCCTGGAGTGCCAGTGGGGCTCCTGTCAGCCTACAGGAGTTGTCATCCCAGAAAACTCAGTGGCCAAGTAGTCTTTCTGTTGCTGATGGTAAAACCATGCTGGTCAAGTCCACAACCAAGCAGGTCTGATGCTAATGGAAGCTAATTTTATCCCAGCTGGAATTTGGGTTCCAACCACAAGGGGAGGCTGAAAGAAAACCTTTAGTCGAGCTGAGCATTGGAAGAGCAGTTCCTTCCTCAGCTGGACTTTGGTATTGGGAAAGAAAATTATTCCCAGGGGGTGGGATCCAGGTAATTTTGACCTTTTGCTCTCCTGCCTTTGGTATTTGCCTCTGGAAAATGCTGGAGGGAACCTGATGCCACCAGCCGAACCGCTGTGCCGTGCATTTATCTTGGCACCGAGCCCTTCGCTTCCTTTGCCAGGGAATAAATCACCCAGCAGAAAATGGAATGACATTTTGAGGGGATGAATGGAGTGGATCAAGACAGGCAAGGAGCTGCTTTATGGGATGCAAGGTGCTGCATGGAGCTTTGCTACCTTATCCCAATGGGAGTGGGAAGGATGTTAGGACCAGGGCACTGTGATGCTCCTAGGATGAAGGCACCAGTGTGGCTTGGCCAGAGCTTGCCCACTGGCTGTGAGAGCTGTTGGAAAGCTCCCATGCTGTCTGCCTGCCACCAGGAATCCAGCCTTGCTCACCAGTCTTGGGCAGAACTGGGAGCAGATGGGATTATCACCGCCTCGTGGGAAAAATGTGGTGTTCCAGCAGGCATGAGGGCTGCAGGCACCACAAGGTCACAGAGCTATTAATAAATCCAGGGCCTGCTGGAGTATGTGGAACTCAAGAGAGGGATTCATGGAGGCAGAATGCAGAGCAGTGCAGGACCAAGGGGCTTGGCTGAACCCTCTATCCCATGGGAAGGTGCCTCAGGAGCAGTGGGGTAAGGGTATCCCCAATTTAGGACTGGTTTAATGACTCTGGTGTGGTTTTGGCATGGAAGTTAGGGTGTTGCATATTAAACCTCCAGCACAGCCATCCCCTCCCATGGTTTTCCCAGTGCTGAGGCTGATGTCTTGCCCCTGCCTGGCTGCAGAGGAACCATCTGTTTTCTCCTTTCCAACTGGAAGGAACGCAATTAGGGAAAGGCTCATCATGTCGTGCTATTTATATCTCGGAGGGGCAGTTGAGCATGTGTCTCTGCAGCTCCAGGCTTAGCCCAGGGGTGTGCCAGGACCTCCATGCTGGAAACAGGGTGGTTTCCTTGTTTTTTGCTCCTTGATGGTCCCAGCTGGAGTTGGGTCTTTGACACCTGAACCTATTCCTTTACCTAATGTGCATTATTGAGCTGTTAATATTCCAGTAAGAGTCTGAGGAGATGATGCTTGGAAACATGTGGGTGATATATGGGAATACTCACAAATGAGGCAAAACAAAGGCATAATTAGGGAGGCCAGAGGGAGTCTGGAAGCAGTGATAACGCAGCCTGTGGCTCTCCAGTGAAGGCAGAGCAGGAGATCTGGAGGGGGATCGCGTCATCCCCAGCGCTGCTGCCAGACTCTGCTGCTGCCCGTGAGGTCGGGGAATGGGATGTTCTGCACGGAGTTATGTGAGCTATTTTTTTTCTATATAAATAAAATATCTCTGAGATGAAATGGAGCCAAAAAAGGGGGGGATGTGGGGGAGCTGGGAGGAGGTGGAATTGAGCCAAAATTGGGGGAGCCTTTAGGAAAAACAGGGGGTTGCTATTTGTGTAAATAAAACAAGCTGGTGGCAGAGTTAGCCTCGGATTTTTTAAACAGAAAAGGCAAAAAGGCTTTTATTATGATGTCCTGGTTGTTATTCCCCTTCTTTCCCTGCTATCATGTGGGACAGAAACCCCTGGCTAAGCCAGAGGGTCTGACGTGGGAATGTGAGGGGGATGTTTGCAGCCATGGCCTGGAACAGAAGCATCCTCCCTCCCTCTGAGGGCATCATCCCCCCAAATAAAATGCTTTTTCCACTTGTCAAATGTCTCTGTTATTCTTTAGGCTGTGCTGTGCCTTGGCCTGTGCTGGCAAACACTCCTGCAGATGTAAACACACTATCCCTGCCCACATTGTCCCTGTCACAGGGCAGCTGCATCGTGAGCAAAGGCACTGGGGATGGTTTCTGCTCCCAGGCACTTGTGGGCAGCAAGGAATCTATTTTCACCCCAGGAGATCCCCAAAAATATATACAACCTCTTCCCTGCATTGGAGGCAAGAGGGAATCATTCATTTTATGCATCCAGGCACAGGGTTGAGCAGGAAAGCTGACACCCTATTTCTGCTCTTTGTGGAACAGGAATTTATTCCCCCTGGAGGATTATATATATTTTTAAGTGAAGGCTTTTCCTCTCCCTTTATTCCCTCCCTTATTTTAGCAGCAGTATTTGAAAAAGTGAGTGATTTTTTTAATAGTTTGGCATGTGCTGGGTTTTTTTTAATAGCAGTTCTTTGCTGTTGCTGGACAATATTGAGCTGTAGATCACAAGGGGTGAGGGAAAACGTTTTCTGTGTGGCTTTGGGGAGGGCAAGTGCAGCACCACAACACCCAATTTATTTCAAGAGAAGAAGGATGGTGGCTTTCTCACTCTGTTTGTGGTTTTTCCTAACCAAGGTGGCCTCATTTGCTGCTTCTTGGCTGCCAAAAAGGTGAAAAGGAATTTTACTCATCCCAAGCATCCTCAGAGCCTGCACTACCCTGTACATGCTCCAAGCCCCAGTGTTCTCCAGGTTTGGCTGTGGCTTGAAGGTGCAGCTTATAATACCACAAATAAACCTCTTCCCCAGTAAACCTGCACCCCAATAAACCTGTTCAGTGGTTTGTTTTCTGTTTCTACCCAATTTGGGCTAAAAGAGGGTGAGGAACACTCAGTATCCACAGCAGAGGTGAAAGGATTGGCCACTGAACAGGCTAAAAACAGCTTGGAAGGAACAGGAAAATGCCTAATGATTTCACTTCCCTTTGGGAAGCAGAGCTGAAAGAGCTGCCCTCATTTCTCCTAACCTTTCCAGGTGGCTGCTGTGGTGCCAGCCACATTTATTATACTCACTTGATGGAAATCAGGAGGTGATGCATCTGTTGCAGGAAGCAATCATGGAAACGCCCCAAGCTTTGATGTTTCCTGGGATGCTCCATTTAGGAGTCAGGGCAAACAGCAGATCCTGTTTCCCAGCCTGTTTTGAGACAGTCCAAACCCTTTGCAGCATCATTTAGTGCTGGTTTAATTATCAAGGTCACAGAGACTGAGGGTTTTGCTTTCCACTGCCAGGGAATTTAGCTGGAGGGAGAAGTGGCTTAGCATCCCCTTTCCAAACCAGCCCTGCCATCACACACTAGATCACACACTCTCCAGCTTCACACACTAAAAGCTGAACACAAATTGGGGATTAAAAGAACACTTTGCTGTATTTTAGCAGCCAAGTTTAAGGATTAAAAACAAAGCTGTGGAGCAAGCAGCCACATGTGTGAAATGAGGCAACTCTTGGCCCAGGAGCATGGGTGGTCACTGCTCCTTCCCCTGGGCTCTCAGGATGTGTTTGGGTAAAAAAAATGAAATCAGGTGCTTCTGCACCTGCAGGAGAAAGAAAAGGAGAGGTGTTGGAGCAGCCCCATAAGTGTTCATGGTCCCTGGTGAGACAAGGCAAAGAATTTCATAGCAGAGCTACACAGGGAAGGGCTTTCAGGGAAAGGGACATATGAAAGCACAGGAGGCCCTTGCACAGTGCTGGCTCTGGCTCAGCAGCCCCCATTCCCTCCCCAAAGCACAGAGCAGCAGCGTTTCAAAGGATGCCACAGCACTGGCTGTACCTCCATCCTCTCTCCCTCGACCTCCCCAACCCATTCCCTAGGGAATTTGGGTTCCTTAGCCTACAACAAGTGGCTGACATGCCCCCAGGACCCAGAACTTCCTATGCAAAGGCCAAAATTCATGTTTATTGTCAGCACTGCACACCCACCCTCCAGTTCCTGTCATCCACCAGAGCCTCCACAATCCTGCCCAGGGCAGGGGCTCCGTGCCTGGCATCTCCTCGACAGCGGATGCTCTGCTGCAGAAGCGCTTATAAATTAAGGATTTATGGGTTTTTCTCTTCATCCCTGCTAGGAATCATCATACAGAGGGTTGTTGTAGTTGCCCCAGGAGCCGTAGTCATGGTCATCCAACAGCCTTCCATAAGAGGAGTGCCTGTCAGGGAAAGCAAACCAACTGCTTTAGGGATTTATTGGTTATTTTACCAAGAAAAATTCATGCAAGGGCTCCCTAGGTCAAGCTTTGTCATATTTTAGCAGGAAGCACCAGGACAGAAGATAAGCCCAGGCTGGATTTTGCCCTTGTTGAACCAGACTGGACAGGGCAGGGAATTAAAACAAGACCTTTGCTCGTCTCAGCTGTCAGCAAAGCCTCATTAGGGATGCTCAGCACTGTGCTGTGCTGCTGTTTATTGTCCCAGTCACAGCAAGACCCGTGGCAGCAGCTTGCCCAAGGGATAATTACTGGTTATGACTATGCTGAGCAGTGTCTCTGGCATTTGAGCAAGGCTGTTGTAAAATGAGGGATTAAAACTCTGCTTTCCAGTACAGATGTGGTAGGAAATAGCCATGCTGGGATGAGAGGCTGCACATCACCCTGCTGGGCTCAGGGACAGCATCTCTTTGCCCTGAGCATCACTCTTGTGATAGTGAGAGGGGCTCAGGGAGAGGGCAGGACACACAAAAAACAGCCTTACCTGATCTTGAGGTATGCTGCTGCCCCGAAAACCAGCACCACCACCACGATGACAGTCACAGTTATGGCCACGATGCTCCCTGTGGAGGATCCAGCAGTAAGGGCAGTGTCCAACTCCCCAAGCCCCAGCCCCATGGCACTCATCCACACCCCAAATACACTCAATACACCCATGTCAGCCATCTCTGCTAGGGGGGAATATTCCTTCACTGCTTCCCAATGAGGATGCTGGGCACCCCGATTTTTTTGTAATGACCCTCTCCCCATAAAGACAGAGGAACTTGGGATGAACACAGATGGGCTTTGCTTGGAATTGCTCCCTGATGCTCCTCCCAGCACCAGGCAGCATTTACTGCTTGAAAATACTCCACACCCCTCTCTTTTCTGACCTTATGGAACACTTTTAAGCTACCTGAGCTTGCAGAAGAGGACAGGGAGAAACTAGTATCAACTTAGTGAAGTGTCCAGGAAGGAGAAGAAAAACCTACATCACCCTAACTCAGGTTGCACCCACCACCCAGCCACTTCTTCCCTCTCATCCTTAAGTGATGCTAGTCACGTTTACAACGTGGGATTTTATTCCCATCTCCAGGCAACTGAGATTTGATATCTACAGCTCCTAGTCTCTACCAGTGGAGCAGATGACACAGATTCCCTTCCAGGAATTTTGCTGAATGATGCTGTCAGGAAGCTGACCACCTCCTCCCTTCTAATCCAGGGGTTCTGCCCCTCCTATCTGAGCACCCCGAGGCTGACACTGGTGGTGCTTACCTGCACTCAAGGCACGTGGGACCTCCTCCATGGTGACTCCAGTGGTTTTGTCGGACGCTGTGTCCTCAGCTTCTGTGGGGCTCATCACAGTCACTGGGGGAGATGTTGGCTCCACGGCCAAGCTCGATGCCATGGCCAGTGTCCCCAGGGAAGGGACATCCTTGGTCAGTGCTGGTGGCTGGGTGGTGCCAGGGCTCATGAGGACAGGCGTTGGGGACAACACTGTGCCGGGGGATGAGGACAGGTCACTGGTGGGAAGGGAGGAGGAGGAGGATGCAGCTATACCTGTGGGGCTGGAAGCTGCCCCCAACTCCATGGTGCTTCTTGCCAAGCTGGCAGTGTTTGCTGTCCGAAGAGCTGGGGCTGTCTCCAAGGTTGGTGGCACCGAGGTGGGGTGGGAGGCTGAGGATGGGCTGTCTGTGATGGCGATGGAGCTCACGGTGGCAGAGACAGGAGCAGGGGACAGTGCTGCCACAGGGGTGGCATTGAGGCCACCCCCCTCCAGTTGCCTGGAGGATGTCTCATCTCCAGCAGGTCCTGGGGACAAGGGCAGTGAGGGCTGGCCAGGAGCTGGTGTGGGGACATCCTCATCCCTGGAGCGTGGGTGCACTGGGACCCCTCCCCAGAGGAAGGGTGGGTCGATGGGGTTGAGGGGTGTTTCTGGGGAGTCATCACCCAGTCCTAGGAGTGAGACAAAGAAAGATTAAGAACAGGGAAATATTTGGAGTGATCTGGGGTGGTGGAGAGCCCTGAATTGTTTGGGAAATAAGCTGGAAATAAGTCTGATTTTAAAATCCTGAGAACCATCTAAAATAAAGAGATGGGAAATACAGGTGTGTGTCTAGAGGTGAGATTTAAACCAAACCAACTGCCCTGGCATAAATCAGCCCCATTTTTCTCCAAGGTTAGGACTCCTCCATCCCTAATCACCCCCTCCATCTTCCCAGTATCTCCTCCCAGCAGCAGAGGAGGAAGCTCCTCCTCACAGCAACCACCGTGCAGCTGGGAATGATAACACAAGACGCCTCTTTCTCCTCTCCCCCCATTTCCTTGTGCATTCATTCGTCTCCATTTCTTAGCATGAAGATGAGTCATTTTCTCCTCTGTCCCCACCAGCTGACTGCTGGGGCTTTTTTCTCCCCCTTCCTAGGCCTGAACTCAGCACTGGTCCATCACTGGCAGCTGCTTCCCTGGGTATGGTTGGGCTGAGGAAAGAACATGCCAACACGAAGTGACATCAGGAGGGATTTTTATTCCCATCTGCTCATTTATTTACACCCCCCAGAGCATCCCAAGCCCAGCACTGGGAAGAGCAAGGACTCACTCCAGCTGCAATGAACTAATTGAGTTTGGAGGACAAAGGCATTCAGTGCCTGTGTGTAGGAATGGTGGGATGTGGCACTGGTGAGCAGGAACTCACTAATCCAACCAAAATTTTGTACTGCCACTGTGGCTATCCCTGTGAAGGATCCCATTTCCCAAGCAGAAGGGTCTGCAGGTGGGATTGAGGCCATGGCTGCTGTTCTCTACCAGGGACAAGCACTTGGAGATGTCTCTGAGCTTTCACCCTCCTCAGGCTCTCTGCCTGCAGAGGTGCAAGGCTGATAAGCCTTAGGATAAGGGAGAGGAGACGGATGACAAGTTGGAATCTGGTTACTGAATAAGCCATCTGGCTCAGCATCTTGGTTTCCAGACCATCACAGCAGCAGGGTAGCCTGGAACAAGCATCCTTCTGACCAAACTACAGCATCCACCTGTGTTTCTGTTCAATAATCCTTGCACCAACACACCTGGACATTTCATCTTTTTCCAACAGGCACCACACAGCCTCTACCCAACATACCCATCAAACACAGCAGGATCCTCCCTGGGCTGAAAGCACCTTGGAAGTTTGTTACCTCTGTCAGTGTAGATGCTCCCAGTCTCTCTAGGACACAGGCAGCTTCCCACCTCTCTGCAAAGTCACCCTGAGGCCCCAAATTGCTTGGGGTCAGCAGAGCTCCCATGATCTACTTGAACTTGGAGGCAAAGCAATAGGGAGCTTGGAAAGCTGGCAGTGCTGCTGGCCTGGATGAGTCAGGAAGTTTCCGATAATATCTAAAGGGTATAAATTCGGAGGGTGAGCCAGAACTGGATGCAGGAACAATCCTTGGCTGCTGGCTGAGTACTCCCAGCCAAAAAGGTCACAAGTCACAGGGACACTTCCCAGGAGAGAGAGCATGGCTGAAGGCAGCACACTGCTCAGTTCAGCCCTGGTTTTCTCTATCTCTCCCTCCTAGCAATTCTAGCCCTGTGCCATCCTCTTCTTCCCCTAAGCCATCCATGGGGTGATCTGGGACCCCAACACTGCCCTGGGGTTCAGCTCTCTCCCACAGCACATCACCCCAGGAATCCCAGCCATGATCCTAGAGGCAATGCAGACCTGAATCTCAACAGAGTTAGGATGAAGGGACAAAAAGGACCTGTTTGAGGACCCCCTTGGCTGATGCTCCATATGTCCCTATTCCACTGCACTCAGCTCATGGACAGCCTGTCTCACACATGGGTGATGCCTGTCCCCATGGCCAGAAGAGCACCCAGCTTGTCTGCAAGTCCTGTCCTTTAGCAACACATCTGAAAGGGAAAATCAAAGGGAAAAGATGTTGCCCTGTTTCCCCAACACCTGGTCTGCAGGAGCTGCAGCTGGGAGCAGGAAGAAGAGCAGAGCACTGGAATAAGGGACAAAATAAACTACCGGAAAACTTCTTTCAGGGTCACATGACTTCAAAGGCTACAAAGCCCCTCAAGCAGGGGCTGTCAGAGGGACTGAGGGATGTTAGCTCCCAGAGGATGCCGAGCATAGCTCAGCCCTGAGGAATTTGCCCATCTAATTCACTTAAGGCAGTTGACCACCCTGCTGGAATCCAGCTCAGAGCTGAGGCAGAGAACTACCAGGACAAGGTAACCACCTAGGAAAGCAGCAGTGTCACACTTCAGGCCCCCACAGGAGCTTTGGAAAGTCTTTTTTCTAGGTTAAAACAACCAAGAAAAGAAAAACTCAAAGCCTTATAATTCAAATATCCTGCTCTTAGGGGATATTAACCCTAATCCCCTGCTAACCTAAGGAATGAGCTATCCACCTGGTGAATTATCTCCCTCTCCTATTTCCATGTTGCTCTGGAAGCCACGCAGAGAGGCAGGTCTCACCCTTGCAGGAGCTGAGCACTTCTCATGCTCCACTTGGGAAAGAGCTGCCTGACCTGTGCTGGCAGCCTCTCCAGCAACCCATTTCCCAGGCACTCCAAAAGCCATTGCAGCAAATCCTAAATTGCTTTGCCAGCTGAAACGCAGCATAAAAGCCACCAGAGAACATCTCCAGCCTGAGTGAATGACATCAGATGGAGCAGCAAACAAACAGCCACTGATAAGGCAGAGATAGAGCTTTTAACAAGCTTCACTTCAGAACTCATCACATCTGACATAACCACCAGAAGGTCCATATGACCTAACCCACACACCACACACCTGCTCTCAGCCCCAATTAGCTAAGGTACCCAAACCCCAGCTGCAGTCAGGGATGCTCCTCTAGCAGCCAAGGCCACAGGGATAATAGAAGTTTCCATAACATGAGTATTTTTTTATCCTCCCTGCCAGCAGCATATCCTGACTGTACTTACACAAGGAATCCAGCCACCTGCTCTGAACAAGACATATAACATGAAGAGGAAAACAAGCCACTGAAACAAGATCTGCTGAGCACCCACATCATGCTGTGCCTGTGCAATGAGGCTGGGTACCACTTTTTGTGCCAGCTCAGCAGCTATTTCTGGGGCAAGTACCACAAATTACATATAAACAAGCCCATAGCTAAAAACCACTCTCTTTAAAGCAAAAGTCGATAGCAACCTCACTATATTACCACATCTATCCAAAGTAGAATGCAGATACAGCCACATCCTCTGCCCCACACATGAAGACATTAAAATGGGGGTCGCCTCAACTGCCAATGAAGAAGAATACCAAAACATCAACCCACAATCAAAAAGACCATATTAGAGATAACTTACCCACAGCACAGACCCACAACACTATAATCATACAAAATACAGTGGAGATAACACCTTGGGACCTGAGCCTGAGCTTTTACGGGGACCTTGGCCCAATGGGCAGAGAGTGTCCCAGAAGAGGCTCATTGAGCTGATCATGGGCTTTTAGCACAGCTAGGGGTTCCAACATAAAAGCTGGTGGCTGGAGCTGGGTCTGCTCTCCTTAGTTTGGCTAAGAACATGGGCAAAAAAATATGGATAACTAATTGTAAATGATGATACTAGTGAGGGAAAGGAGATGCACAGGGGTGAGTTCTTCTTTCAGCTGTTTGAGAAGGACAGGTAGACCCTAAAAATTAGGGTCTCATCACTCTGGGTGATGTGTTTGGGGGTATGTACTCCTTTTAAACCTCTTACAGGTTCTATGTTATGCTGGTCCTCACTAAGCGCTGATGACAGAACAGCCCTGATTGCTCTGGTCCTGCAGCATGTGTTGGTTTATAACCAGGTTAAGTGATGCAGAGCAGTAAAACAATCTATATTTAAACACAAGGTAAGGATTTCCTGTTCATGACCTTGTTGGCTTGGCTTTGCTGTCTGTGGCTGGGGATTCCCATACCTTGTGCTGGTGGTTTCTTTGCAGTTCCCTTCCCCCTTGTTTATGCTCAGGTATAACTTTCATTGTATTTCATAGCTGTACAACTGGTGGCATCTGGCTGGGGATGGCAAAAGGTCCTCTTGGAGTGGCTCAGACTAAATAAAACTGGTTCTTGCTTTGGATACAACTTGTTTTTCTAGCTGTTCAGCACTGGGCTGCCTCACCTACCCTGGCACCATGCAATTTGGGCTTTGGTGCAGCTCACGTGTCTCCTTGCTGCTTGGGGGCCACAACTGCAGTACCCAAGGGGCTGATTGAGCCCTGTACTGATACAGGGGAAGGAACACAGAGGATGTGGCGGTGGGTTTGGAGCTTTTAACTTGTGTCTCTCTTTTTCTAGGGCACTATTGTGGAGCTCTGCCTTGCCAACTCCAAGAAATATGGATGATGAAGAGGTTTAGGAGCAGCTCTCCAGGATCTAAACTCTGTCTCACACCCACTAAGCTTTCCATGCCATCCCAGAGGGAACACTCAGCAGGATTAGTACTGGGAAATACTAGCTCCTAGGGATATCTATGGCTGCTTTTG